TCGGAGCAGCGGGAGCGGTACTGCAGTCGCTTTACCGCACCGTTGTGACGAAAAGGGAGCTGAGCCAGAAGGCAAAGCTCTCTGTCTTCCGGGCCATTTTCGTTCCTACCCTCACCTATGGTCATGAAGGATGGGTCATGACCGAAAGAACGAGATCGCGGATACAAGCGGCCGAGATGGGTTTTCTCCGCAGGGTGGCTGGTGTCTCCCTTAGGGATAAGGTGAGAAGTTCGGTCATCAGGGAGGGACTCGGAGTTGAGCCGCTCCTCCTTCGCGTCGAAAGGAGCCAGTTGAGGTGGTTCGGGCACCTAGTTAGGATGCCACCTGGGCGCCTCCCTAGGGAGGTGTTCCAGGCACGTCCAGCTGGGAAGAGACCAAGGGGTAGACCTAGGACCAGGTGGAGGGATTATATCTCTTCGCTGGCCTGGGAGCGCCTTGGGATCCCCCAGTCAGAGCTGGTTGATGTCGCCAGGGAAAAGAAAGTTTGGGGCTCTCTGCTGGAACTCCTACCCCCGCGACCCGACCACGGATAAGCGGGAGAAGATGGATGGATGGACATTTTTCATTAGTTTTACCAAAATAACTTGATTTAATTGTATTTAAAATAATATTTCCAAAGAAATAAATCCTTCGAATCTGCCTGTTCAGTTTCTGTTGGAATGTGAAGGGTTAAATGCCGTCTCTGCGAGTTATGTGAAGACGGGAGAGCTTGTTGGTCCCTCTCTACATTCACAGAGGGCCAGCTATAGTACCTCAATGAGAGAGTAATGTCAAATGACAGTACAATTGACCAATCATATCTTCCCTCTAAATGGGCGGGCATTATTTTCGCGGACTTTATGACAAGTTCCGCCCGCTGTGAGGTCTATGCAAGTGGTGCAGTGACGCGTCCTAAAACCCGGAAGTAAGCTGCGCTCGGATTCCCTCGACAGAAAGCAACGGGATTTCTCCAGAGGATTTTGGAAAATAGCTGGAAATAAGGTCTGTGGAAAACGAACCTGTTAGATAAATGCACGTTTTGTTCAGCCGGATAATATCCACATGTCTACCCTACTTTTATTATTTTCGAATCATAAATCTAAACGATAGATTTATGATCGATAGATTTATAATTAGCATAAATTCGTTCATGATGGCTCACTTCAGTGATAGTGATGACATCGTTGCGAAATTATTAACAGAGTCATTTTCAAGATTGAGTTACAATGATAAACTGGAGTGGCAAAGGATCAGCTGCAGGACCCCGCCATCAAGTGCTTCATCCAAAAGGACAGGAGGATGGACTTTGTGTTTAAGTGATTTGATCATCAAAGGTAGGCCTAAGTCATTTTCAATGTGGGCCGCCGTGCCGACTTAATTCATTTGTAATTGTTACTTGGCTGTGGGTGCCCTGTCATGATAGGTGAATATAAATGGTGTTGTTTTGTGTGGTAGAGGGTCGCTGTCATTGATGCGTTTTGCACCCCGGACCACTGTTTTGATATTCCGCCGAAGTATACGCTGTGACGTAATATCTCTTCTTTTTTTTCTCGAGGGAAGGGGGGTCAGAGGGCCTAGGTATAAAAGTCACGGCTCGCCACTGGTGAATACACATCTTTAAATGTACCTAGAGGTACAGTGACAATGACATGATCAGCAGCTATCTTCTTCTCATCATCACACTCGATCATTAAAGAGTTTTCTTCCTTCTCTGTGTTGTTTCAGTGGACACAGCGAACAGGCCGGTTGTAAGTCACCAAATCCCTGGGGAGCTCCGACATCAAGTTTTTGATTAGACCTTCATAGCCACTGCATGGAAAAGAAAAATATATTAAGGTCAGGTGGACATGCACTTGTGTGCTGAGACAATCAGATAGTTAACAGACTGAATAGGTACAGTACTTTATGTGAATGCAGGAATTAATGGTTTATTTGAGTTTTATATGAATAGTTTTTGCACTTTATATGCAATGTACTAACCCAGGGAATGTGCAGTCAAGCCCAGGTAGAGTCTTGTACAGACCATAGGCCCCCAGGCCCACCTCATCCATACTGTGAGCCCCATTAAAACAGCACTCCACTTTCAACATGTTACTGATCATACACAGTCGCAGACATCTGGTAGCTGCATCTATATCTTTCCACTTCTCTGCTGCTCGTTGTTCAGCCTGGGCCAGAAAACATTAAACAAAACAACTTATTTTTCACAAAAATCCAGTTTAATATAAAGAACATCTGAAATATTAAAGCCAATCTTGTCCTCATCCAGTGTTATTACTGTAGTCACTGAGAGAAATGTACCTTTGAACGTATGAAATCTCCCACACAGGCCCAGGGTTCTCCTCCTTGACTCTCGAATTTTGAACTTTCATAAATCAGCTCATAAAACATCTCCTCTGCAGGATAGACATATTCAGCATTCAGCTTCCTACCTGAAAATTACACAACCAACAGAATACCAATAATGGAGATATCACCAGGTTACACTTGTACAAAAATGGTAAATAATCAATGACACAGCCATTAGCACCTTATAGCCTAGTTGTCTGCCACTTAATAAGACACATACAGTCCCGGTGAATAGGCCTATTCACGTTTTCAGTGTGTGATAAAGTTTGATTCAACTCTAAAGTACAGATTCTAACTATTTTGAACCATCTTAGTGTAATAACAGTTTTTTTTTTTTTTAACTGTCTGGCGACCTGAACTGCTGAAGAAGTTGGAAGCCTGGTGGGGACTAACTTCAACGTCCACGCCCTGGTTCTCTGGAGTGAGGGTCTCTGGGTTCAGCAGTCCGTACTGACGGGCCAGACAAAACACTGGGTTCTCCTCAGTCGGTCCATGGATCCAGTGTGCTCCTATCCCAACAATATTATCACCTGCAGATAGAAAATGTTTGTGTGGTATCCAGGGGTGCCACCAGGGATTTTGGGCCCCATGAAAAGATAATCACATTGGTTACCTAAATATTTTTTTCTTAATGTTCTAAAAAAAAAAATCGGCCCCTGTCAGTCACGGCACGGGCCCTTAGAATCGTCCTAACTTTTCACCCCCTTATCCCCTGGTGGGATCACAAAATATAGGATTGTTATAAATAGAAATGAAAGTTTTATGTTTAAGGAGGAATAACTTTTGTATACATTATTTATTGTATTTATTAGTTACATTATGAGTAGATGTAGTGCTCTCTGTTCTTAGTAAAGAACTTGTTTTTTTATGAGGTGAGGAAATGTTTGGATCTGTAAAATCTGTTTTAATATGGAATAACATGAAAGGTGTTTATTTTGTAATAGTTATGTATGCTCCTTTCAGAATTCAGTCTTGCTCTGTTAAGATAATAGGGAATGTAAAAGAAACGTGATTTCTATTACTGCGAGGTAATAACATAATTGACAGACAATACTGTAACCTTTGAGAGTCTGCAAGAAATGTGTTGATTGTTGGTCATTTGCTAAAATAAACAGTACGGAAAGAGACACTAAAGTAGGCTAGTTGTAAACAGTTGCTTCACATTAATATCTCAACCAGTGTGCCGGTTTTGATTCTTCCTCCGCTTCTTGCAGTCGCTTCCAGTATTTGCACATGTTGAAATCCAGCGTTAACGAGTCTGTGTGCAGCTGCTATACCCGAAATCCCGCATCCTACTATAACTACTTTAGCATTCACACTCATAGCTGTGTGTAGCCGGCCATGCTGACAGCTGACACACTGTAGTTGTAGTAACATGTCCCGCCTCTTAGCCTATCACGTACAATGTGTTGGAGCGCTAGCCAATGAAAGCGTGAGTGTTAGATAGTGATGTTAAGGAAGTAAACAAATGAGTCCAGCATTTCACTCCCTCTGGAGCGAACTTTGGAATTTTAGCTTTTGCAGAACATTTACATGCAAGAAAACCTATATTACACACAGGAAAGAGAAAAGCCCAACCAGGTTTGTGCTCCTTTAAAACCCTTCTCCATCTGTTGGTTTAGGAATGATAGAACAAGGTGGCCGATGCACAAACAAAAGTTTTTTAATATAATATTTTCTTGAAAATCTTAGGGTTAGGTGAATACTATTACTAACATAAATAAGGAAATGCACAGACTTCCTGTAGTTATTGCATTCCCTATTGTTCTGTTATTGCTATGCATTGAATACATGATATACCCCAAAAATGTAAAATAAATATCCAATAAAATGTTACTTTGTCAGGGTTCCTCAATAATAGAAAAAGGTGTGCCTTGAGGTAAATGGTTTGGAACCATTACTTAATCTGCAATTGGCTGCAAACAGATTGAAATTAACAAAGTTGTTTTATAATATCCATTAGAGCCTCTTCAGCAAACAACACCTGCAGAGGCTGATCACACCTTAGCAAATAGAACTGTAAACAATGTGATTCAACTCATATTTGGTGTGTGTGTGAAAAAGAGAAAAAAACATAACTCTATTGTCTATTGGATCTGCAATTCCTGGACTTATGACACCACATTGCATTAAAAAAAAAAAACCTAAGAAACATTGTAAGAGCATCTTCAAAAGTGAAAGGCCCATATTAAAAAAGGCCTATTATCCATTGATGCACTTTGTAGTAAGTAAGCACCACCAAGTCAAATTCCTCATACGTGTGAACCTACCTGGTAATAAACCCGTTTCTGATTCTGAAATAAAAAAATGCCAAAATGTAGCTTTTTATGTTGTATTACTCTGTGCTATTTGCAATTAATGGAAACATGGTCAAGGTTGATTGAATCACAAAGAACTTGCTGTTTGGGAAACTGTGGGAAAACGGAACAGCCCTCCTCTCTCAGGATACCCTTATTGTGTAATGTTGATTGGTTCACATATGCACACACAGACAAACTCACACACACCTCATGGGAACTAGCTGGCAACGAGGGTCACTCAGAAGAACAATGCTGCTAATCTGTTCTCTAGTCACCGTGGAAGTACAGGAAATAATAAAGATGCTTTTTGGTTGTGGGAAAATTGAGCAGGGTATTGTTTGGGTCAAGGAGATACAACAACATTTATAGAGACAAAACTAAAAACTGATTTATTACATAGAAAAGTCAGAGGAAAACCTTACCAAAAACAGGTGGTATAAATATCCAAACTTGCAGTTAGAATTTTCATACAAAATAATTTAAGTCAGAAAATATAAAGCAGTGATACACTTTGCAGCAAAAACATTAACAGATCGTACAAACTGTTGAAATATGTATTTCTAAAAGTAGAAGCGCGTTGGTGTATGATATGGTTCTATTGCAGCCTTTACTTTTACCCTCTTACCTACAGTCACTACAGTATTAGCACATATCCCCATAGGAATTCAACCATCATAAGTATCAACACACACACACACACACACACACACACACACACACACACACACACACACACACACACACACACACACACACACACACACACACACACACACACACACACACACACACACACACACACACACACACACACACACACACACACACACACACACACACACACACAGAAACTCATATGATGTCACTGGCTCTGCCTTCGAGCTGAAGTTGGATCATAGACTTCAGAGAGCTGTATCTGTAGAAGGGAGAACGCATGATAAAAGATGATCTCTGACACTTACAAACAGGCACTCAAATACATGTGAAATTAGTGATAAAACCATCCAAAATCATATTAATGTATCCCTCAGATAAACAGGCAATACTTGTCTGTGTGATCAATTAATTGTTCTTTTGGACTTTTTTAATAGAATGTTATGAGAAAAACAACAATATAAAAAATCACTAAGCTTGTCTTTAACAATGACAGTTACAATGAGTGTGTGTGTGGTAAGATATGACTGTGTGTGATGGTCTTGTTTTGATTTTGAACTGCCGGCTTCGAGTCACAGATATTTGCTTCACTTAATGAAATAGACAAGTGATTAAAGAAGGCTTTGTCTGGATCCAAACATGTTTTGTAACTCTGTAATGTGAAAACTGTAAAGTAGAGAGACTTGCTTACTTTCTGGTCAGCTTGTTTATCTCACGTTCCTCTTCCTCTTTAAGTTTCACGACAAAGCTGTCTAAAACAGGAATCTCAAATTTAATATATTGGGCCACCTGGGGAGAGAAAGATACATATGAAGACATATATCACCACCATCACGTGAGCTAAACATGTTTATATTTACAAGGCAAAGGAATTCCAGGGAAAACTGTTAAAAGCGTGTTCTGTGTTTCATCCAAAGAAACATTAGATCCTACTGTTGAATTATTTGGAGGCAGCAGTTGTTCAGTCTTTTGGGACTTGGCTTGGGAATTGGCTGGTCACTGTTTAAAGTCCTCACACAGACCATAACCAGTTTGTGGACTGCTAGCCGGAGAGTTACCAGTTTGCCTCCTGGGTGTCCAGGTGTCTTTCAGCAAGGAACCAACCCCAAATTGCTATGTTTTCTCTAAAAGCCGGGGACGGCTCTCTGCATATGAAAAAGTTGGGCCATCATTTAAATTCATGCAAAGCGGTTGGGGGTCACATGAATTGTAAAGGACCAAGGCCTATTTCATAGATGAATGGGTATCAATAGCAGAACACTTTTTAATCTGACCATATATTGTTCACTGTATATGATGAATATTACTAAACCTGGGCAAATTAAAACAAAACAATGGCTAGGCATAGATGTACAGTACGTGAGTTGAATGAACTCCCTCTTTACATTTTTAGTTAGGAGTCGAAACGTTTGAAAGTTATTCCAATCCAATTCCTAATCCAGGAGAGTTCCCAGCAACTTGTTTTATTTATCACCGAGTGTAATCACAACAGACAGTCGGTCCATTTAGTTTATTGTTACAACAGTTTCGAAACAGGATATCTTTGTTCAGCTTGCTAAATTTAACCCAACTGTCTATTTTTGGTCCCTTTGTGTCATTGTGTTTATGTTGATTACTTCATCAAAAAAATGAAAGAAACCACGATGAGGGAACAGAGTGTGGTGGCAGGAGGCCCAGACTCACATCATATGTGACTTCCTCTCCCAGGTCGGCCTCTGTGATCAAGATCTTGGAGATTTTCTCACAGGGTCCATAAAGCACACGAGTCACCAGCGGGTATTCGCCTTCCCTCAGTCGGGTCTTTTCTACAAGGATATACGAAGAAAACAAATGAACACAAACACAACTAAAACCATTATTATCTGAGAAATCCACAATAAAAGTAATTACTTACCACCAGACTCGTGCACCAAATAAAGTACAAACTCTTCAGATTTATTCTCCACCTTACAAAATAGACATATATTTTATTTCTGGTTTTACTGTTACGCCACTTGAGATGCAACTATTGTCTCACTGCTTACCCTAAACTTGTGTAGCAGCAAGTTGAGGACTTGTTCAGTCGTCATGGAGCTGTTCACTCGTACGTTAGTAACAGAACCGAAGGCCGGAGTAAATACAGATGTCTGAAAGCAAGAGAGAAACACATGTAGAAATAACTGAGAGGGCTCAAAGTATTGGGTACTTTGGTTCCTGGACACTTGAGAAGTGATTTCTGGACATTAACACCTTGGACCTTTTGAACATTGGTCTGTTCCTGGAAACTGTCTGTTCCTGGAAACGGTTCAATAAAAACACTGTCTTCAGGACAAATTGATGAAGGAACACAGTGTGACCTTATATTAGCACATTAATGAGATCAGCCCACAGCAGGCTATTGTGGCCCTCAGCACTAGTACAGGCACACCCACACAGGAAGCTTCCGCCCTTCTGCAGCTGGAGATGTGTTAACAGCGGGATATATTAATGTGTGTTCTGTTTATTGTACCTTGTGGTTGTAGAAGTGTCCGTTGATTGAGAATCTGTGTGTGCGCAAGCGTTGCAAATCTCTGGCAGTGTGTGTCCTTGACCTCCTCTGAACCCGCATGAAGGAAGCATCGCTCCTGGTCCTCAGCAGCTGAGGAGAATCCTCCTCATCCGGACCACACGTGTCTCCACCTCAGGGCAAACAAAAACATGCCTCTTTTAACACATGTAAATGTAACAAAACAAGTTCTGCCATGGTTTTAACACAGACATCATTGTTAAGCCCATCAATTGTCTTTAGCGTTAAAAATAAATGTCCCTTTAAACATATAAATAACAAATACTCTCGCTCTCAAATTAAGATCTGGAGTATGTTAGTAATATAACAATATATGATTTCAAATGAGTTTTGAAGGTTATTTTTTTTCTATTAGTATTTGAAATCCTTGACAGAATCAAATTAAACATTTCGATTTTTCCTGGAAAGGAAATGTATATTAAAAACGAAACATTTCTTCAGTTGTTTTGCTATGATTAAGAAAGACTATGGCACACAACTTAACTGGCCAAAGTCAGATCCATGACTAATAGCCTAGCGTTGGTTGTCTATAGTGTTATTGATAGTCTGATGTAGGTGGCATCTCAGGCTAATCTGTGCTCCACCTGTGAGCCAAGTTTTCCAATGGAAATTATAACTAAGTATCCATGGTGCTCTAATCTGTCTCAGCATGTGACTGTAATCTATGTTGATCAGTTAAGTATGTAAATGTACAAGTGTGTAAAAGGACGTATTGCATGTGTTTGTTACTCACCTGCTGGCTCAGGTTCTGTACCCAGTGAGTTGTTGTTAGACTCTTCTGAGAGCTGCTTTGCCCCAGCAGATCTATCGTTTCTGTAGAAAGAGGAACAATGTGTTTATTGTTTGTCAGAAATATGAAAAGTTTGATACCACTTGTGTGCATATAAAATATGAAACTATAGCTGGCAGACAGTTCGACTGTAAATGTGGAGAAATTGTTCCTGGTACCAGTCTTAATACTAAGCTAAACCTTCTTAGCTAAATGCAGGGGCTACGGTAATTTTCCTTTTTTGTAAAACGTCTTCCAAATTGAAGATAATTTTAATCAAGATGAATCTGTCCTCTTTTACTTGATACATTTGTAAATAGTTTTGCCCAAACAGGACAAAATATGCGTTCAAGTTTCACTTCATTTATGACATGCCAAATTCGAAATATTTTCACTTTATTATCATAAATGACGGCAGAACTAGGGGGAACCATTGTTAGTTTTGGACAAAATAATGCAGAATTTGCCCTTTATTTACTATTTTGTTTTATTTATTGATAATTGTATTTAGATGCTATGGGTCTGCTCCGAGAGGTCATACCGGTTGAGACGAAATCTTTCATTGTCGTCGTACATCTGAAGTCTGATTGGTCGGCGCAGACCCCAGTAGATGTTCAGCAACCCCTCCAGGATGAGCTCTCCATCTTCCTACACACAGACACACACACGACAGTGATCATCACAACTCGTGCTCAGAGAGGATATCCTGCTGGCCGCCTGCCACAGAAGCTGTACGTGCAGGAGCGCTCACAGCTTCAGGGTGACCCCTGTCATCTTGGAAAAAGCCCGTCAGGTTTGACCCCCCTTTTTTTACATTGTACAAGGGTGAAGTCACGTCCGAAAAGGCAGCAATAAGGAGAACAAAGACGAGACTGCTTTGGGTCACGTACACATTTTGATCTCACAGAAGTGAAAGTCTAAAGATAGAAGAAAATTGTCCCATGATGAGTACGGAGATAAAATAGTGTAATCCTGTTTAACATTTTTTTCAGTTTGCTTTTCATTGTAAAAAGAAAAGTTGTATTGTTACATAACTGAACTATTAAATAAAATATGATATCCCTACTGTGACTGTGTAATCAGTTGATCAGCTTCCTTTCCCTCCAATAGCCTGTTATATATTCATAATATCCCAATAATACAATGCAGCTCTTTAACTCGATTTATTTGTATGGAAAATTCAATAAATCAATTTGTCAAAGAAATACAAACACCACATTAAAACTGAATCTTATTTGATCAGCTGATTCTCTGCCAGTTTAAGGTTTGTGGTTATCCTGCTGCAATTCTGCTTAAATTCCAAGTCATTTAATGTTAATTCCTTGTGAACACATACTGGACATTTATACTTATTGTAAGTCGCTTTGGATAAAAGCGTCAGCTAAATGCAATGTAATGTAATATCAGGGAAAACGTTTGCTTTTCATTTCATTCAGATTATTTTGAAATAATTTGTAGTTAAGTATATATATCCTCAATATTACTTATAAGTAAATCATAATCATTGTAAACACTTTGTATTAAGCATCATACTGTATTGACATATATTAGTGTCTATACAGTTTATGATTTAATGGTTGATATTGTGAGAGTGAGTTTGGGAAATAAGAAGTCCTTAAATACAACAATTTAGCCTCACTCAGCTCATGACAACGATGATCAAAGACATGGTGTGGTTCTTTACAACTTGACTGTCAAAAGTCCATAAAATGAAACCAAAAATGTTCCTAAGTAGTTGTGTGTTAAACTTCTTCTGTGTTTTGTATTCCAGTCATCTTGCAGCATGTCACCATGCACACATGAAAGCAGTTTGCATGAAGATCTCAGACAGCTTTTTATCAAATATATTTTGAATGGCGCTTAACTAAATCTTCAAGATGGGCCTCTAAATGTAGGAATGTCCTGTTAATAAAACATTACAGTTTAATTAGCATGGATAACTTGTGGCTGACAGTTACTTTTGACTAATATCATAACAAATGGTGGGAGCAATAGAAGCTTGTCAGTAAGAAATGTGCAGATTGCTTATAAAGAAGAATACTGGAGATAGTCAGGTGTTCACCATTTTTAGATGGCTTAACATGTTATTACTGAAATAAAAAAAAGGTTGGTTTTTTGAGGCGAGACAGAATGCTCCCAGGGCTTCATTGTTTCTGGAATATAAACATTGAGAGCAGCTGCACCACTGGACCTCTCTGACCTGCATCGCCAGTTTCCTGAACAGGCATGGACACACCCTCCCAAACACACACAAGCCCACAGAGATGCGAGTAAGGTCAGCAGATCTATTTTTGGAAGTAGCGCTTCATCGCTCTGCTTCAGAGTGCCTCTATAAAGCCCTGATACACACTCTGCTCCAGTCATACTCAACTGAGCGGACTACATCACTCTGCTTCACTCTGCATGTCCACTCCACAATTCAAGCAACAAAGGTGAGTGCTTCTTCTTCTTGTGTTCTTAATTAACACTTATTATAGACGACTTACAATTTAGCCATGTGTTCAAGTTGATTTAAAAGTAATATTTACAAACCAGACAGACGAATACAAATGTATGAAATGAATAGAGTTACATGTTTTGACCACAAATTAAATTCTTACAAAAACAAGGAATGAAGGGCATCTACAGCATAAAATGTTAAATTATGTAAATGTGATGACTAAAAGAAAGCATGCAAAAAAGTGTATAATGAATATAATGAAAGAGTTTTTTCTTAACAACCACAAATTAAAATCACTATCTAAATGTTTTTTTTTAAATAAACAGTTTATGTATTTGGACATTGAGTCTTTTCATATGGTCTAACTGTTTTATTTCCTCTCCCCCGATGCAGCATGAAACGCACATGGCTGTTGCTTTCTTTGCCTCTCTTACCCACCATTACTGAGACCCTGGAGGACTTGCCTGTCCACCCCTCCTCCTCACAGCCTGCCCAGAGCTCAGCGTCTCTGGACGACTACATGACGAGCATCCAGGCTCTTGCCCGATCTGAAGAGTCCCCGAGCTGCGGCCCTGTCAGACTCCAGAGGGCCCCCAGGCTGCGGCCGTTCTCTAAGGCTCAGATGAAGCTCTCTGTCTCAGCCTCACTTCCTCTCGGCTCTCCCCGCTCACTAAGGACTTCCAGACTTTGCAATCTGAGTCTCAACAGCACAGAGGATTTCTCTCTCATGAGGGGCAGAGAAAAAGACTGCAGGGGCAAAGATCCAGTAGACTGGCTGTTTGGACAGATAAGGACTTGAAGGGAGACATGGTTGTTGTTGTTGTTGTTGTTGTTGTTGTTGTTGTTGTGGAAAAGCCCAAAAGCACTTGTTGGAATATATCATAATCAAACAACGTTGGAGAACCTGCTCTGTTTATGAAGATCAAAACAGCGCAATGGCTGATGGGACTTATTATGATGAACAAAGACAGAATCACCAAATGGCTCCAGAGAGAAGACTTATACGCACTGAGGACTGAAGTCTACATGTTTACATTTTTTTAAGATATAGTTTGTAATAAAATACTAAAATACTCATGAAGATGTTTTTTTCTCTGCTGTTTTTTTAAGTTACTTTAAAGAGCTGAATATCGTTACATTTCAATCACTTTGATAGAGCTGAAGTCATTTTTTATGAATGACACAGAAGATGATTTGTGACATCTTTAAAAACGGTCTAATCCTACAATATTTCCATTTTATGCCATTTTATTTGGGTACTTGAAGCAAATGTTTCTCTTCTTACATTTACTAAACATAATAATAACCTTAGATACTAGGGATTTTCAGATTCAGATGAATAAAACAAAAATATAGGCTTCAAATAAACAATATTTTATTATAGATAAGATAATATTTTATATATATATATAAACACCATAATGAGTACTTTCACTTTTGGCAGTGTATATTCTGATGCTATTATTTGTGTAATTTTATTTAATGTAAAGAAAGAATATATGGCTTTAACTTACTTTTCTTACAGAGTCCTTTTAAAAATACTGAGGTTTTGCAACTTTTACTAAGGTTAAAGGTCTGAGTATTTATTATCAGTTGCCCCTGCATCACTAGTGGCAATGGCATGGTGATAATATCCAATAAAATGTAACATAATATTACACTAGGGGCCATTTTAAGAAGTAGGCTAGTTTTTGAAATTCAATACAGTTTATATAAAATGTAAAAGATACATATATAAATGGAACAAATACGTTGAGTATTTTTGTGTAGTTGTGTTACTTGGACTTGATAAAGAATCTGAGTAACTGCCTCACAGGTTTAAGGAAATAATGCTGCCATCTAGTGGTAATCAATGGCACTACAGTGTGTGCATTTTAAACGAAAAAGTACTTAACACAGCCACAAGGGGAAGCTGCAGCACAAACTGAGATTAATATGTGGTTCTCACAGCAGACAAGCACTGACCGACACACACAGACACTATTGAGCCAAGTGTTGCCAAGATCAGAATGAAATATTTTGACTACACCACATTATACTTTGGTAACTTAAAAAAACATCCCCTTAATCAGAAGAGAAAGGTTTACAGCCTTTTTGGCCAAATCCATAATCCAATATTGGATCCAAGACTGGTGCTGAGCAGTGAAAGTATAACACAGCTCCGGGGCTCAGTATCAACTATGAAATCAACTAATAAAGTTTGACTATTCATGTTAGAGCTTGTTTTCCTCTAAAATTCAGTTTAGTTTGTTGTGTATGTCGCTCAGCTTAGTCAAACCACCTGACAACATGACTAATACAGACCACCTGACTCCACCTGCAGAACATGACTTCATCTTAAAACAACACTTTCACACAGAGTCTGTGCATCACTCTGGATAGTTGATATAAATGAAAAAACAAACCCTCAGACATGTCAGGTATATATGATCACAGTCTGCATGGTAAACTGCTGAATGTCTGCAGCTGGTTTTCATCTAAACTCATTCACACTGTATTCTAGCAATCCACATTAGGAGTTTCCAAATGTTGGTCATTTTTCCAACCAAAGAATGTAAGTGCTGAGAAATGTGTTGTCCCTTATATCCACAACATGTCTAATGAGTCAGTTATGAGTAACATTTGGCCCCACTCCATTACATTACATGTTAGGCGCTTTTATCCAAAGCGACTTACATACTCAATACTGTGGACAATCCCCACAGGAGCAATTTGGGTGAAGTGTCTTGCCCAGGGACACAACAGCATGCTGACTGCAGTGGGGTTTGAACCTGTGCTCCCTTGATCCCGCTACACGCCACCATCAGCTCTAACAATGACACATACCGCATAAATCATCACAACAAGACATTTGTCACTTTAACAATGTACATTTCGCAGCGCTTCGATTTTGATTATATCACACAACTAGCACTGATTTGTTAACATCTTCTATCGACAGCTACCGAACGGACTTGTGGTGAGTTCAATCATTCATTTCATGCCTCTTACAAACGTACACACTACAGGATAAAAATAAAACAGACTAATTAAGGTATAACTTCTTAATTAATTCTCAGGATCCCATTTCATATCGCACAGATGATTTATTACATTGTTATTGTTTGAAGCTGACTTAAATGCATTTTTAACTTTGCCAGCAAACTGAGCTTTTCAGTCAAACTTAACTTCAGATGCTGTCTTCAATCAAAAGACACATAAATACATTGCCTAAGTCATCACATTTTTCACATTATGATTTAAGGTTGAGCGTTCCTGCTGAGGGGTTCTGTGTAAAATACGTGGGAATTGTTCAAATCAGGCAACATAATCAAAATAATGAGACTGAAAGGTGCCTTGGACAGCCTGCGTTTTAACACAGTAAGCAATATGCTGTATAATGCAGAATCAGCTATTTCACTGCAGTAGTCTCTTTTTTACAGCTATTATATATATATATATATATATATTGAAGTAAGTCTGGACTCAATTCCTTATTGAAGCCACATTTTTTTGGTTGAATTAGTAGCTTGCATTTGACCACATGTTAAAAGACTCATTGTACAAATCGCGCATTAAAGCTTCTTATAATAAGTTACAGAGGTCAAAGTCATTTTTTATAATAGTATTTTGTTTGTATTTAATACCTTATTAATTATCAATAAACAACTGTTTTTCAATTTCAAAATTATGTTAATATTGTGAGATCATTGGTCCCTCTATTATACATATGTTATAACTTATATGTTCACATGTTATGGAGGCGACTTTGGGGGGATTCCCAGAATGAGACACTATAGAGAGTCTGGCCGGTGGTACGAAAAAGAGAGACAGATCACCACATGACGGCCCTAACCCTACACCCCCCCCCCCCCCCTCCCTCCACCACACACACACTCTCTCTCTCTTTCTCAAAACCAGCTGGAGAACAATGGGGAACTCCCGACCAAAAAACCCATAGAATATCAAACAAATAACCAAACACACCACACGACAGCCAAACGTTTACTGTGGAAATACTCTGCTGAGCAATTAGTGTATATGAATGAAATCTGAGACTCCCTCCTTGCATTTCCATTTTCACTTTTAGGTAAAAGGGTGTTTTTTGTTTGCTTTGTCAGCCGTTTGGCATGTTGGAAAAGATCCCGGGATGAAGGTCTGTGATGAGAACTGCTGCCAGATTGCCAGTTTATGTGGTCTCAGGTTATTCGTTCTCATTATCTGCCTGCAAATCAAAGTGCTGGTTAAACTGGTTCCAGTTTTGCTTTGTGTTTGACCCATTTTACAGTACCGTATGTCCTGCAATCCAGCATACCACCAAGCAACCGTCAAAAACTCTGTTTGCCTTTTTATTTTCTGCCAACACTGTCAGAGGTAGTCTTACCTCGCGGGTCCGCAGCTGGAAATTCTTTCCTTCATGGTAACAGTTGTAGGTCCTAAGCAGTGACAATATGTGCGACCTGGAAATTAACATAAGACCACTTATTGATTGAAAATATTCAAGTGATACCATGTAAACTGCAAACACTTATTTTCCAAATGTTCCCCGAGGCTTTTGAAAATGAAAAAGAGGACAGACAATCACACATAATATGCACAAAAAACAATAAGCAATACAAATAAAATAAAAAAATTCGACAAATAAAACCATCAGGAATTAACTTCAACACCCCATCCTATGTTGATTTCTCTGCAATCCATATGTCCTAAAATGATTCACAAAAAATAAATAACTAAAAGCCTTCACACAATGCGGGCAGTGGTGATATTTTGATCACCCTTGTGGTTAAACTGTCTTTTAGTCATTACATGCAGCAGGTGGAGTAAAGGGACTTACTTTGGTATCAGTTTTTCTTCACTGAGCTTCATGTAGGTCTGACGCTCAACCATTGTGACCAGAGTCCAGCTGTGGCAGAACAAGAGAAAAACATTCATTATGACCTGATTTACATCACATATTAATAGGAATAACTCCTATATGTTAATTAGATGTAATACAATGATTTGTGCATTTATCATAAGAATTATCATTCAACTATCCTTTTATTACTCTAATCAGACAGCGATTAATGATTGTTTAGTTTATTGTGTAGTTTTGATCCATATCAAGGGTTGGAAGTTTTTTGGCACAAATAGCTCTGGAGGTGAAATGAGGCACATGCAGTTAAAAGAAATCACATGGTGCTGTTGACACAAAGCCAACAGAGTAACATGTTGTGGCAAAGCTCATCAAAGTCTGTAAAACACATTGTCTTCTTTCTCATTTTAAGGTAACTTCTACTAATGTGGTTAGGTTCTTAAACAGTTAACATTATGAGGAAGCACTACTCATTTGTGGCAAGGTTAAAAAATTAATTAAATAAAAGTATGCAACAAAAGTTTTTTTTCAATAAATAGGAAGCACAGTAAATACACAAGGACATAATAATCACTGTGTCCTTCAGGAGTTCAAGCTTTTTCGGACAAGACAGAGGAATGTGTCCCTGATCCCTGCATCCTAATTTCCGTGTCCTGCCATCTCATGCCATGGGGAATTTTTCATGGTTTGGAAAGCCCAGTTCTGAGTATGCGGGGGGAGGAGCAAGGGTATAAAAGAGCCACATGTGGCTCAGGGGGATCAGTGCAGCACTCGTATCCAGCATGAAGCTTTATCTTCCTTCAGCCTGTCAGCTTGCCTTCCTGAGCCTCTGCTGTGTACTGATCACAGGTAAGAACCATTTATGCTTATATTAGTGTATTCTCTCATATTATCTGGATACAGCGAACGTTAAGAGTGTTGCTTTATTTGGACAAAGCTGTCTGAGCATGAACTTAATCCCTGCTCATGTTGCACTGTTTGGAGTTAACCTATAATCCTATACTGTGTCTGTGCAGTGAGAGAGTCAGACAGCACGTATGTCCCGGGAAGATGTATGTGTCCGCAGGCCCAACCAGGTGTCAGAGGGAAACTGAAAGAACTCACAGTTCACCAGAAAAGCCCCAGCTGTGACAAAGTCACAGTAATGTGAGTATACCAGATCCTGCAGAGACACACATTCATGGACACAGATGATTGAATAAGAGGAGTTAATGTGCTGGTTTACATGTGTTTTACAGAGTGGTCCTGAAGAGTAACAATCGAGTAGTGTGTCTGAGTCCAGTATCACCGATGGGCAAACAGCTGATTCGCTGCTGGAAAAGGTGAGAGGCTTTATCAGTGAAACCTAACTTTTAGTAAATAGGACACACACTCACTACTATGGGTTCTGAAAACATAGCCTCAATCATTGTTTTAGAAAGGGATACTACAGCTTTGTCAACCCTCAGCCAAGAGTAACATGTCATATTTCAACTGAGTTTCATTTACACAGAACAACACCATTATAAATATATTACACACCAGATGGAGGACATTTAAGCTGTGCATCCCAACTGGCTGTAAAGGGGTTCCACCCATCTTCAGGCCAACAGTATCTTATTTGTTGCCAATCCGGTTCTTGTCGTAACACGGCACATGTTTTGCAACTTTAGACATAAAAGTTAGTGCCTTTTAAAACATTTTCTACAAAAAACAGATTTACTTTATTTGTTCCCTTTTCTAGAGTTAATGATATCCTTTTATAGAAGCTTATATCATGCCATCATTAACATTTGTTGTGTTTAGTTTATTGAGTAGTTTAGATCCATATCAAGGGTTGGAAGTTTTTTGGCACTAATAGCTCTGGAGGTGAAATGAGGCACATGCAGTTAAAAGAAATCACATGGTGCTGTTGACACAAAGCAAACAGAGTAACATGTTGTGCACTCATCAAAGTCTGTAAAACACGGTGTCTTCTTTCTCATTTTAAGGTAACTCCTACTAATGTGGTTAGGTTCTTAAACAGTTAACCTAATTAATTAACATTGTAACGAAAGATTGAAGTGTCCTATACAGGAGTGTCATGTACAGCCCTTCCTCCAGGCTAAAGTTAGTTCTCCTGTGTGTCTTTTCTAGGAGTCATAATCTGGGTCGTGATGTGACACTGTGCCTGAAGAGGAGGAGGAGGAGGGGGGGAAGAGGAGGTCAGCGCCAGCGACAGAGGAACAGGACCCAGAGCAGGAAAGCCTCATCCTCAATCTCCCGATAGTCAATCAGCCTGACAAGTTGTCCAAAGTTACTGAGCGGAAAGATACGTCTAGATGCTGTTTCTTGCCACACGGTTGACTCCAGGTCACAAGGCTGTTAAAAAACCACAGCACACAATCACTTTTCTTTATAAAAGTCACGCAGCTAAGACACCGAGCTCCCCTAAACTGTTGTCCGAGCTATAAATCAAACTCTCTTTGTATGCTAGCCACAGGGGGCTTTTTTCTGTGGAATGGTGTCACTTTAAAAACTGAGCCCTGGAGGCTTGTCATAAATGTTAACAGTTTTAGCTTTAAAATGCTGTTAACATATCGTTATGCAGTTCTGTGTATGCAGCTGGAAAAAACTAACTGAGACGTTTTTGTTGGTTATTTATTTTTATATGAATAAGATAATTGTTTTAAATTGTGTTTTTTAAAATAAATATATCAGAATAACACTTTGGGCTTGTTGTGGTATTTTCTTTTTAAAACTTCTGATTATTTTACAACTGAATGATGGGAAAGAGGATTACTTCCTTGCCAGGATATGAGAGGTCATCCAACCCTCAGCCACAGCTTTAGTTAATAAACCACAGGATGTGAGTCAGCAGCCGGCACAAGGCAAACATCTCACTTTAAACATCTGCACAGACATCTGAAGGGTATACCAGGAGCTGAAATGTAAATGCAGTTATCTCTTTCTATGGCACTGTACAGAAGTGATTGCAAATAAGACATTTGCTGGAGGTGTTTTGAAATACAATACACCATCAATTGTGCAGATTAATACTTTCACAGGCTAATATAGGTGTTGCACAATTGGTTGGGGTGTGGAGTGGTGAGAGTTTTTTATCATGGCTTATAAACATGCTTTATATCAGCTCTCGGATTTCTTTTAGATCAGGTGATATGATAGACACAAAACACGCACCCACACACACACACAAATAATATTTTCACCTGCTTTTGCAATGCGCCCACACCATTTGGGGTAGTGGAAAGTTAAATACTAAGGCGTGTACAAACCTGTTATTTTTCTTAGCTAAAACACCTATTGGCATTGTTATGAGCTCTTTCAACATGACATGATCGACATGATATGTTAGCTATTAACTGATGCTTGACTACACAAAGTGGTAAAATGGAAAGTAAAAGTAAATTGCTCAACAAGGCAGCCTTTGTCCCTTGCCTGGCTGAGTAATCTAGGGGATTTTTCATATTAAGTATGATAAACTATGCAAGCAGTTAGAAGAGTTTGTAATAACATTTAGTGATCCGTGAAAGTTAGAAATGATTAGAGGATCTGTTTACAGATGACAAGATAACAGTCTTGTTACTGGATGGCATGTGGCCAACATGCAAATCCAAAGAGAAGTACTTTACAATACATACAGGATTTCTTTTTTTCCATTCATTAATTTGATAGCTGTAATTACTTAATTGACTGAGATGTTGACTCATCAAATCTAGACCACTGATCCGTTCATTTGCATTTGCTGCATAGTACCTATTAAACCTTCAACAGCCAATCAATAATGAATAATGAACTAACCTTTATATGAACCAAATACAACACTTATTCTACAACAATGAGAAGAGTTAGGAGCTAAGAAAGAGTTTTAACCAAATTCATTAACACATTCACTTCAGATTTGTATTTTCTGATACACACCACACACAACTTCCCGTAACTGAAAGGCAAGCAAAACATTGAAAGTACAAACCATTTAATATGCTGCTGGAAATTATTAATTTCAAACTTTTATGGTAGTGTGATTTTATCTTATCACAGTGTATTGGTGTTGTAATAAATACATGTGGTATATGAAGTAAAAGTTAAATGCCTCCAAGGTATTTGAATGTTTGTATTTACATTGTAATTCTCAGCTTTGGTCTGACGACTGTGCGTTTTATTTTGACGGAATTATTGAACATTGGAAAGAGTCTGATTTCTATAAAAGTAGAGAGGGAAATTAAATGTCATATCTAAAAAGTCAAAATGTATCTTCTATCGTTTTTAACAGGTTGCCATGAACTGACAAAAACATTTAAAAACAGTCTCATGCATGAAGGTTTCCTTGAACTCAAAACTGTTTTTAGAATAAATGCACAGCATCTAAGATACATAGCACTGTACCAACAAAAGTGATGTTGGTGCTATGAGGCCATCTAGTGTCTAAAGCTTCAAGTACACTGCACTCCATCCTGATTTAGAAAATATGTGGCAGCATTGCTCCATCTCGCTTAGTGATGGAAGAGACACTGTTTAGTTTAACTTCGACATTGACACCACCTGCAGGAAATTAGCTGAAGTGGACAGATTGTTTCAAATGTGTTGACTGTGTATTTAAAAGGGCCATTGACTGGCTATTCTTTCTGAGAAGATCCATTGAGTTGCAGACCATGATTTGGTAACAACATAAAGAAGAGATGTGAATCAGTTAAAGTATTGATGTGTGACTTTGATATGCTTCATTCCAAACTATGACTTACACATTCGTAATAAATGTAACCTGATTGATTAAACCCTTATGTTAGTTACCATTCTAGATGTTTCCAAATAATTAGCTGATGTACACACAAAGGAGTCTTTTGCATTTAGTGCAGCTGAAACAGAAGTTTCTTAGACAAACATGGAAGACAAAAAATGCTTGCATGAGCAGCAATCGTCACCACAAAACCCAGGAAACAGACAGCACTGTCTGTATGGGAAGTGATCTCTGGGAGAGGAGGTGCAGATTCAGCTAAACACCCTGCACTCTTTTACTCTGTCACAATACTTCTCTTTTTATTTTCAGGCTGCTTTAGATTCAAATCATATTAATGGACATATCTAAAATAAGCTATGTTAATTACTGAGCAAAGGCAGCCCTCCTCACCCCCTTTAATAACCTTTGCCCTCCTCCACTCTCATCCCCTGAATCTGCTGACAAAGTAGGTGCACAATGGGATGGTCAGTCTATATTTTACATATTTATACACAATAATGTGTTTTTAAATATTCCATTACTTTAAGGATTCCAGTCTGTCACTATTATTATGAATTATTCAGCCAGTGCACATGACTGCACAGGAGATGGACCAAAATTAAGAGCAGTGGAAGGAAAACACATTATTTTGTGATGCAGATTTTGGTGAATTTATAATCCCTTTCTTCTCCTCTTCTTTTGTGTGCTAAATTACGCATTCTTCCCTCGGTGGACAAAGGACCTTCAGTGCAGGTCCGCTAATTGGTTTGATCATCGCGAGATTCGTATCCAATTATCGCACCTATGGCAGCTGTGTCCGGAGACAATCCCATTCCCACGCGTCAAATGTCCGGGGCAGCTCCAAAAGACGCATACACAAAAATCATTTCCACAACCGCGTCTAAGTGTAAAGACAAACACAGCTGTGGAGAGAAAATAGAAAAACACTGGCTGAAGATGTATCTATTTCTATTGCAGCTATTACTGCAAATAAGCAGTTTCGTTGATACAGATAAAGGCTGATGTATTTTAAAGTTGTTCATGTCTCTACTGCTTTGATATAATAAACTGCATAAACTGAAAAGTTCACCGTTAGTAACCTGCATCCAACTTCAGGACATCTCTTGTCTTCATGGCATGATGTTTCAGGGTTAAAGCGCATTAACGTAGCCTAAGTTATATTCCCCCATAATCTTTTTGTGTACAAATATCCAGCAGTAAATTAGATCAGTATGGTTTCTTACCATAGAAGACAGCGTCCTCCTCTTCCGTATATCCACCAGCGATGTATCCCGTGTAACGTTGGTTATCAGTCTTCATGCCTTCTGGTCGTGCGGCATTCAGAGCGAAAAGATCAAACTGACAACCCAATTGTCCAATAGAAAAATGGCTCTCATAAAGCTCAGCCAATCAGCGTTGAGCTTGGGCGGGGCTAACAGAGTCAGGGTCGCTTATCTCCCTTCAAGGTGCCTCTGAGACTTTCCCTCAACCTCATCAGCCCCAACCATCAGATTACTTAATGGTTTATTTACACTTGCGTATACTTTACTGGAAAAGGTTAGAGGTTACATAACATGTGCTTTTCTTTGCAAAAAGACACATACAGCTTGATATTTTGAATAGGATAGCATAGCAAGCGTTTTGAGTAAACACCCACCTCTAGTGCTTTGAAACATTACTTTTTGTATTAAATGTAAAGATTATTTACCTACTATTGGATAGAGGCGAATGATTGAATTGCCTCATCTTGCATTTTCTTAATGTTTTATTTCATTTAGCATCTTTACCTTTTCTGTCTTGTAAATATATATTATGTGAATGTTGTTTGACATAATTAATCCAAACAATATAAAATAACCAGTTTTCTTCATTCTATTTTCTGCCTGTACATTAGCAGTGATGAGGGCATTTTATTCTTTCAGCCCAGCTGCTAGAGCACCTATCCTGTTTCCCTCAGCTCAGCAGAAAAAGGAAGAAGTCCCTGTGACCTGTAAAGATTGGTTTTCCCCATCCTGTTATTGAGCCTGGATTTACCATCTAGGAAACTACAGTAGGGTGGAAACAAACACTGTAGGAAGTCTCTCTCTCTCTCTGTCTGAATAGGCTTTATGATTTGACATGTACAGAGGAAGTAAATTGTTCCAGCAGCGTAATAACTTCCCCCTCTGAAAACAGATCATTCTAAAGGATATAACAAAGTCGGTGGAAGCAGACTGGAAATACTGACGCTCTTGTGTTCTCCTTTAGTTTTCTAGTTGACCAGAGACAGAGAGCGTTGTGAAGATGATAATACAGCCCTGATTTTCGGCCTCAGCAAACTCTGGACAAAGACTCTCTGTTCTCACCATAAAACACCAGACTATGTCATCCCTCCTGACTGATTCACATGTCACGGCTTTGATATAGCCTATTGTAGAAAAAAACATGTGTAAAATGCTGAAAGAATGTGTGCCACTGTGTAGCTGCTGGGATGTTGCCTGCTTCAAAAAAGGAGAATACCACAGTTGTTTAACGGACAGGCTATTTATGTGTATTTTTCACGCATCTGCTGTCTGACCCCTGTTCTCAGTGAGGTGCTTTATGATGCTCTTTGCTTTTATTGATTCTCTCTTTAGTTTTGATGTTGCAGAGAGATTACCTCTTAAGGCTACATACAGAAATATATATACAGTTCAGTGAACAAAGAAGAGAGGATTACCCGTGTACATGATGTGTGTGTGTGTGTGTGTGTGTGTGTGTGTGTGTGTGTGTGTGTGTGTGTGTGTGTGTGTGTGTGTGTGTGTTGACAGAACGAAACAGTATTGATTTATGTCCTGAAAAATAGGGGAAAGTCTGTATGGAGAATTGTATCCTTTGTTGCATGATAAAAACTAAAGACAAACAAATGAAATCTTGACTCATGTTTTGATTTATAGAGCTTGGGTTGGATTCACACATCCTTTTAATAATATCAATGCTATTGTGACATGTAATTCATGCATGAATAATACTACGCTTGGTGTGTTATGTTTTGGTGAAACGTAGGCTTATGGTGGCGCTCTGGTGGGTGATCTGATGGTTTTCTCATCACCATAATAACGTGTGCACTCCTCCCAGAGCTCCGTCTCCATGGTCACCGCTTGCACATGACAAACACACAATAAGGAGTCTTGAATGTGACTAACACATGCACCTGCACTAGCTCTAATTCCTGCTACTCCCAGTCACATTCAAACACATTTTGTTTGAATGAATGAAACAGTTGATCTAATTTATTACCTCATGAATAATGCATGCCGCAGTAACTGGATTGGATTGCATTAACGTTTGCTCTTCAATCAATCCTGGCCTTGCAAAAATCTGAATAAAAGCCACCCACATTTGTATGTACAATTGTTTCTTTTCTTTCAGTGTTTACGTTTGAAGATACAATTATTTTTCAAAAATGCTTACAATATATTTTTTGTATACTGTAGTAAGAAATATACAAATCAATTTAACATTTAATAAAAAATCTAATAATCTTATATCTTGAAAAAACAAAGAACATTATTACTGCACTCTTGTAATTACTCAAAGGTCATATTTTGCATGAGCAGATATTTTATAATGTGTTTTTTAAAGCTAATTGTCTGCACAGTGTAGCACTAGCGAGTAGCATCCAGTCAGTATGAATACATTAAACATGCTTTCCTTTGTGTGATAGCAGTAAGGAGCTCCGCCTGAGCGCAGAGGGATGTTCAGTCAGTAATCATAGGAGCAGTGTCTGAGGTGGTGTCTGGCTCTGGCTCACAGTATCTGTCCATCTCCTCCATCTCTCTCTCTACAGGCTCCTCCCTGCCTCTGAAGCTTATCAGTCTCCCCTCTTTCCACCACCTCCTCTCCCTGTCTGTGCCTTTAGGTGCTGCTGTCTGCTCCAGCTCCAGCATGGCCTGCACGCTCTCTCCTCTTTCCCCCGGGCCGAGGCAGCGGTCTCTGGTTGCCAGAGCCGGTCCCTCCCTTCTCCTTCCTGTCACCACGTGAAAGAATGAGTCTGTGCTGTTCGAAGCTGCAGTTTCTGCCACACAGACAGTGGTCGGGCCTTGGTCGCTGTGACTTCCCTGTGGCCTCTTTGGAGGTTTGGGCTTTGTTTTCTTGCTTAGTATAAAGTTGAAAAGTGCTGTCACCAGAAGCATTATCCCTGCAATCACAAAATACATTCTCTTTCTTTCACAGAAGACATTTTACAGTAGGACATATGCTTTTAGCTGTTACAGTTCACATTGTGCATGCTGGCTCACTGTCACAATTTACTAGGGCACTTGAAAAGAATAGAGCCATCGTAAATGTTATCATATACACCAGTGCTTTTCATACTATGGAAGAGGTCAAAATGTGTGTTACTGAAAAGGCCTATCAAGACAGTACAAGTGCTGTAAAAAGAGTAAATAGTATTGTAATAATCAGTGAATTGATCGTACTTGGAAATGTTATTTTACCTGGGATGATGGCATGCCATACCAACACAGGGTGCAAGAAGCAGACCACTGACATTATGGAGTAATAGAGGAACTTATGGAAACCTCCGACATGAGCCATCTTCCCCCACAACACAAACAGCTGCCAGTCTGGTGGACAGCTGTAAAATAAGATAGGAAGAAGCGGAGAACTGAGGCAGTAACCGGGCTAAACATTTTTGGATTATTTTGAAAGTAAAGACAGCTTAACATATGCATGCTTATATAGCAGACATCACGACAGACTAGACATATTGAGTATCTATCTTCAAATGTAGGTCTTAGGATTTGCAATGTTAATAGTTACCTGATGTGCTTGACTATTATTTATCCTAAAGTATCCATGCAAAGAAAAGAGGTTGGTTGAATGTTGTGTACTCACGGCAGACACATTACCAGAAGTGTATCCAGGAAATAGGCCAACTCAAACATCATGATGCCAACAGATGACACTCTGGGAGGAGAAATACAGTGAGATTAAACAAATGCAAAGACAAAATCAGGAAACTGTTTAAAAAATATGTAAACTAGATCTAATTCTGTCAATTTGTGTATTTTATCTAAATATGTATTTTCTGGAAAGCCAACAATGCAATGTTATGCTTCAAGTGAAAATATATCGTTTTCATGTGATGCCAAAAACTTGGCATAAGGTTGTGTTTATTTTATTGTTTGTTGCTTCAGAATGCCCTGTTCTTTATTTTGTGTTTTAATAGTCTGATAACCATCTTATCCAGTGAACCAGAAAATGACCCCATACCAACCGTCATCGTACACTGCACTCAGTATCTGAAGACTTATCGCTGAGTTATGTGCTTCTGTGTGTGTTGTTACGGCTCTCATCTGCATTTTTGTGTTCTGACAGAATAAACAGTTGTGCATTTCTGGTCTCCTTAGGGAGTTGTTTTCCTTCGGCTCTGTGGGAGTCTGGCTGCAAGCCACTGAGATAATATGAAGAAGCACTAAAAGGACGGGTCTCCTATTTGCAATCTACATCGCCTCATCCCCCTGGCTCCTTCCAATATTCTCATTGCAAGTGTGTCAATCATCAAGTGATTATGACAGCAAGTAGAGTATTGTAATTGTTTTCTACAAGCCCTTAGGCCAAACATTCTTTGGTATATTAAAATCCAAGCGGTGTATTTGTAACACAGGAATGCCACCAGTTTAGTCTTAAGCAGCCTGGAGTCAGGTCATATGTTTACATTGATACAGTGTATTTAGAGATGGACTACAAAACCAAACACTTACAATAAATAGATGCCAAGGCTGTTGAATTCTCCTTGATGCAGAGTCTCCACTCCCACAGCACAGAACACTGTGAAAGAGACAGGAAGATCATTTCCTCTTTTGTTATATTTAAAGAGTTACGGACCGGTTGAGCAGATTCTGTCCACCAGATGTCAGACTTAGTTCATGTTTTTGTCGTTGAACGCAGGAAGGGTTGCAGTAGCCGGGTCAACTAGATCAAACTTGGGAATGTAACTCCTTAAACATGATTAAATACTGTTAATTAAACTTTGTGCTGTGCTGTCGTTACTGTTCTTTGAATATTTTATTTAGTTGTATCTTTATAATATTGCCCTGAAGTTATCCAATTTAAAGTTTGAACTCCAGGGGAGCATATTGAATTGTTGTATACATGTTATATAAAGACAATTAAAATGCATTGTTCTAATTGTTTCCATAGTGGTCACAACATGTTGGTCATAGCTTACTCAAGCTAGTAATTACCATGTCAAGGCAGCAGGCTAGGGTTTTTTATTAGAGTAGACAATTGAAACGACAGAATCATTGCATTTAAAAATGTTTCACAACTTAAAGAAAAAGCAGTCATTAGACGTCATGGTATATTGATAGTCTTTTTACATTTTGGGCTTATGAGTAATACATTCATATTTATTCTCAACTTTAATACTTTTTTTTGTGTTTCTTCAAAAGCACAAACTTTGAGTAAAAAGTGATGCAGGGTTGATTTATTCCTCTGAAAGGTATACTTTGCTGCAGCAATTATGACAAGGAAGCTGAATTTCTCAGTCCTTCACCTGTGAGTGCTCTGCAGTGGGAGACGCCAAGATAAATTCTCCTGAACACATGAGTCATGACACACAATAGTAATTTAATGTTATTATTACTTCTGGTACTACTTCCTTCCTTATATTTGATAGGAACAGTTCAACTTTTTGGGAAACACATTTTTCATTTTTTGAGAGAAAAAGGGAAAAGAAAAGACAGAACGTTTACAGTGTGCAACATGACAGGATTAGAGGCAGCAAAACATGCATTAGTACAGTGTAAGAAGAGGTTTTCCCATGTGTGTATATGAAGCTACCGCCAGCAAACAGTAACTTAGCTCAGCATTAAGACCGCAGATAGCAAAATTCACCTACCGATACCTTGGAATTTCACTATGAATACATTTGAGTATTTATTGGTCTTGCAAAGCTATTTCCTGGCACATGATCATCAGCCATCAAGACGAGAAAAAGTTAAGCTCGCAACCTCCCCTCCAAAAATTAACACACCTTAGTATTTGATTATGTTTGCGTTTGTTATGATTAAATAAAAACAAGATAGAGTTTATCTTTTTTTAAATTGGTAAGTATTAGAGGTGCTCGTTGGCTGGCAGGTTAGTCACCTTTTTTTCCCCCTGAAGATTCACAAATCTGAGAGCTGATCACCAAAACACAGTTGAACTAATATGGTTTGATATAAAATTAGATGACAACAAAGTCTTGAAAACTATAAAAGGAGAGCCTGTTTTGTTAATCAAGCTTTCCCCTGTGAGGTATAAAAGAGGTAAGCTTTCTTAAGTGGTGATCGCCACTCACATGGTAACAATTTCTCCTGCTTACCAGAAATTCAGAGATATAATCGGTACTAGAGGGAAATCAGAGGAATGTAGCTAAATCGTTTTTGGTAGTTTTATAGATTGAGAGAGATTAACGCTGCATATAGACCAGCTGGGTATTAACATATATGCGCTCCTTGCACGTACGTCTGTCTACAGAACACACACAGGGGCAGACAGGCCGACACAGACATGCAGACACACAGACCCAGAGACAGAGGCGCACATAGGCACCCCATAAACATGCACACACACACACACACACACACACACACACACACACACACACACACACACACACACACACACACACACCACACACACACACACACACACACACACACACACACACACACACACACACACACACACACACACACACACACACACACACACACACACACACATAGAGACAATGCACAGAAAGCTCCTGTTGGTGTAAATATATTACAGCTTGTGATCACATAAACCCAGTAAAGCAGCTGGATACAGAGACTTGGTTTTGGTGCGATGTGAGGCACATGTCTCTCAGTAAATGTTCAGTGTCTGCAGCTGTTTGAATTTAAGTGAAGGGGGTCCCATATTTTTTAAGGAGGTTGAAACCATAGAGCTATTTTCCCTGTGATGATTTAATGTGGCTTAAAGAGCTGTGTGCAATCAGTCCTTATGTGCCTGATAGCAGGGTTATGCACGATCAAGTATTTTTATTTGCTCTATATATCATCCAAGAGATGCTCTCTTGTTCTCTTAGAGGTCATGAGTACAGTTGGCCAACATCACCATCCGACCTAATATTTTTGGTTTATGAAATCCGTAAAAAGACCAACTGTATAACTCTCCCCCACCGGAAAGCTTACAAAGTTTCCCTTCAGTGCAGAGAGAGAGAGAGACTGATGTCAGCCATAAACAAAAGAGTTGCAAGACTTCACATTTCTTTCCTATTTGTATTTTTACTACAGCTTGTACGCTTTGAATGCCAAATCTATCCCAGAGATAAATCATGAGTCTCTCAGTGTATAGAAAGAAGAATATGAAGCCCATACTGAAACTATAAGTAATACACATGAGTCTTTACATATATTGCTGTTTGTTTCTATATTCATATACTACCTGTTGCCGTAGAAACACCGAGGATCCTGCAGGCGCACTCAATTACAATCCACCAAACGCTCTCCAAGTTCCCCATGACCTCAAATACTTTGTCTCTTCACTGGTAGAAAATGCAACCTTAACACGCCACATACACTATCTGAAATAAATTGTAGCCTAGCATTTACTAAAGTAGCCTTCTAGACTGAAATGGATGGTTGTTGGTTAAAGAAAAAGAAGCCAAAGTTTGGTAATCCATGAGTGCCATGATGAAGCCTCTTACACTGGAAGAGTTTACCTCAGAAAGGTTTGTGACTCAATGCCCCTGTTGCTCACACACACACACACACACACACACACACACACACACACACACACACACACACACACACACACACACACACACACACACACACACACACACACACACACACACACACACACACACACACACACACACACACACACACACACACACACACACACACACACACACACACACACACACACACACACACACACACACACACACACACACACAGGTCCCACACCGACAATGTTCCTCATGTTTCTCTGTACGTACCTTGTTGTGAGAATTTGGGTGATTAAGTAAATCAAATCATTTGACACACTTTTTTTTCAAAGTCATTCATGCAGCATCCATTTTTCAAAACGGTTTGTTTTACAATGGTGAGCGTTCGTGTAATAGACAGCAGTTTGTGTCAGGAACAAAAAGCTAAGTTATCCCAGTTTAAAATGATATATACACATGTTCCACTTAGTTTGCTGTTGATCCCAATGCAACACGTACTCTCTGCAAGTTCTGAATAGTCTAACAATGCAATGGATATGGGATAAAAATGCTACAAGAACCAACAGAGACCCTTTGACACACTTTCACGTGTGTAAATGTAAGCCCATAATCGGTTGATGCAGGTTTGGCTGGGATGTAAGCCTGTTCAGGCACAGCAGAGGCCTACAGGAACAAGCATTAAGAGTCACCAAGCTCACACACATACACACACTGACTCCTGGTAGGGACCAAAGTAAGCCAAATAGATCTCCTTAAATCTCTAACAAAGACACTTCTGTTTACTGGCTCCACTTGTTTCCTGCTTAGCATTCATGTTGTTTGTGACATTTATGGTATATGTTTCTGAATAGTGCCAAAACTGTGTTGTTAGATGTGTTATGGAAAGTGAAATACTTTCATTTTATATGTGATATATAGACTGAAATATATAACATCTAGGCTTATTGAATACATTTTATCATATTGACCACTCATTCACGCTCACCTAACAAAATTAGTTAAAAATATGTTTGCCTTTGGACCAAACACCAGCAAATCTAAGCACATTCTCATCATCCTCAGATGTTCTCCGTGTAAATGGCACAATTATTGTTACGATTATTGTGTTATGTCACGTTTTGTATGTCTTGTTTTGGGTGTTTTGCTGTTCTCCCTGTCATGTTTTCCTCTTGGTATATTGTCTGGTCCTTTTCCCTGTGTTTTTCCTCCTGTCGTTAGTTTCCCTGGTGTGTCTAGTTGTCTGATTGTGTTCACCTGTGGCCCTTGTGTTTCTCCTCCCCTGCCCGGCTGTTTCTCATCTTGTGATTACCCCTCCCTGTATTTAGTCTCTCCCTGTGTTCAGTGTTGGTTCGTCTTGTGTCATGACTAGTTCTTCGGTGAGTGTTCTGTTTTGTCTTAGTTTATCTGTGCCTAGCCTTGAAATAAAGGAGTTTTTCAGTTTGTATCTGCATTTGGGTCCTGCCTGCTTCACACACCATAACATTACGAACCAACCAACGATATGGGCCCAGCAGATCCGTTTGAGCAGGAACTAGTGGATTATACCTTTTCTTTGTCTGACTGCGCTCATCGATGGAGAGGAGCGGTCAGGGTTCAGCAGCGAGATGCTGCTCTGGCAGATGCAGTCCACCTTACGCTGAGGAATCAAGATTTGGTTAAATTCTTACCGGCCTGGCTTTTGGATTACCTCACGGTTTGTTTTCCCGATCCTGATAGACCCAGGTCTCCAGATTCCCTTTTTGATACCACACGCATCAGTGTGGTCCGTCTGGCGTCAGCCCCTGCTTCTCACCCAGTGTTTGCTACAGTCCAGGAGCCATTCGGTGGTACTCGTCTGGCTTTTGGAGGTCCACGGAGCCTCCAAACGGCTCCGAAGAGGAGTCGCAAGGCCAGGTTAGCAGCACGAGCCCAAAGGGCCATGGTTCCAGAACCAGTTCAGCCCCCAGCAGCCATGGTTACAGACCCAGTTCTGGCCCCAGCAGCCATGGTCCTTGCTCCAGAACCGGTCCCGGCAGCCATGATTTTGGCTCCAGAGCCGGCCCATACAGCCATGTTTCCGGCTCCAGAACCGGACCGTACAGCCATGTTCTGGCTCCAGAACCGGACCTTACAGCCATGATTCTGGCTTCAATTCCGGCCCCAGCAGCCATGGTTCCAGACCCAGTTCTGGCCCCAGCAGCCATGGTTCCAGACCCAGCTCTGGCCCCAGCTGCCCTAGTCCCTTCTCTGGCCCCCTCTAGTCTCTTCTCGAGTTCCCCCTCTAGTCCCTTCTCTAGTCCCTTCTCTAGTCCCTTCCCTAGTCCCTCCTCAGGTCCCTTCTCTAATCCCTACTCAATTCCTTTCTCAAGTCCTTTCTCAAGTCTCTCCTCTCTCCTCTCTCCTCTAGTCTCTCCTCTAGTCTCTCCTCTAGTCCCTTCTCTGGTCCCCTCTCTAGTCTCTTCTCGAGTTCCCCCTCTAGTCACTTCTCTAGTCCCTACTCAATTCCTTTCTCAAGTCTCTCCTCTAGTCTCTCCTCTAGTCTCTCCTCTAGTCCCTTCTCTAGTCCCTTCTCTAGTCCCATCTCCAGTCCCTCCTTTAGTCACTTCTCTAGTCCCATCTCAAATCTCAACTCTAGTCCCATCTCAAATCCCCTCTCGAGTCCCCTCTTGAGTTCACTCTCCAGTCCCACCTCAAGTCCCAATTCAAGTCCCAATTCAAGTCCCTACTGAAGTGCCGTTGGAGGTTCCGCTGGGGGTCCTGCCAACTCCTTGTCTCGTTGGAGGCCCCGCCGACTACTCTCCTGCCGGGGGTCCTGCCAACCCTTTGTCCTGTGCCGTTGGAGGTCCCGCCGTCTACTCTCCTGCCGGGGGTCCTGCCAGCTCCTTGTCCTGTCTCGTTGGAGGCCCCGCCGACTACTCTCCTGCCGGGGGTCCTGCCAACCCTATGTCCTGTCCCGTTGGAGGTCCCGCCGTCTACTCTCCTGCCGGGAGTCCTGCCAATCCTTTGTCCTGTCCCGTTGGAGGTCCCGCCGTCTACTCTCCTGCCGGGGGTCCTGCCAACCCTATGTCCTGTCCCGTTGGAGGTCCCGCCGTCTACTCTCCTGCCGGGGGTCCTGCCAACCCTTTGTCCTGTCCCGTTGGAGGTCCCGCCATCTACTCTCCTGCCGGGGGTCCTGCCAACCCCTTGTCCTGTTCCGTTGGTGGCCCCGCCATCCTCTGTCTCGCCGGGGGTCCTGCCAATCCCGTGTCCTGGTCCTCTTCCGTGGGGGATCCTGCCGAGGCCTGTCCCACCAGCTCCGGTTCCTGTCCGGCCGACACCGGGTCCTGCCCGGCCTCCGGCGCTGGCCCGTCAGCGCCTTCCTGCCTGTCCTCCGGAGCTGTCTGGTCTTCGCCCTCGAGCCCGGCCCCCTGAGAGCCGCGGTCTTCGCCCTCGAGCCCAGCCCCCTGAGGGCCATGGCCTTCGCCCTCATACTCGGCCCCCTGAGTTCGCCCGCGGTGGCCTTCGCCCCTCCATAACCCCCACCTTGGACTCTGTCTTGCCCCGGGCAGTCCGCCCGAGTCCCCCTTCTCGGCTTCTGCCTTGCCCCCGGGCCGTCCGCCCGAGATCCCTTCCGGGTCCTCCGCGGTGCTCTTGGGTTGTCAGCCCAAACCCGTCCTCCTGACCCCCTCCACCCACCCTGGTGGCCCTAGTTTTGTGTCCCTCCTCCGGACCCCCTCCACCCACCCTGGTGGCCCTAGTTTTGTGTCCCTCCTCCGGTCCCCCTCCACCCACCCTGCTGGACATTGTTTTTTTTGTTTTTTTTTGACGTTTATTGGACTGTTTTGGTGTTTTAGGGACGTCTGGAATCCGTCCCTTGAGGGGGGGGTTCTGTTACGATTATTGTGTTATGTCACGTTTTGTATGTCTTGTTTTGGGTGTTTTGCTGTTCTCCCTGTCATGTTTTCCTCTTGGTATATTGTCTGGTCCTTTTCCCTGTGTTTTTCCTCCTGTCGTTAGTTTCCCTGGTGTGTCTGATTGTGTTCACCTGTGGCCCTTGTGTTTCTCCTCCCCTGCCCGGCTGTTTCTCGTCTTGTGATTACCTCTCCCTGTATTTAGTCTTGGCTCTCCCTGTGTTCAGTGTTGGTTCGTCTTGTGTCATGACTAGTTCTTCGGTGAGTGTTCTGTTTTGTCTTAGTTTATCTGTGACTAGCCTTGAAATAAAGGAGTTTTTCAGTTTGTATCTGCATTTGGGTCCTGCCTGCTTCACACACCGTAACAATTATCTTGCTAATATGCAAGTAAGGGGGTGAAATAATAAACATTGTAACTTCCCAACATAAGCATGTCAAATGTGTCACTGAGCATGTTAGAAAAAATAGGCCTTAGCAACCTGAGTTTCTAGCATGCATATAGAGTTGTCTTGTTACAGTAATACATTTTTTTGTTGCAAGGATTAATAAGTTGTATCTAGTGGCTTAATGCTTCATAGATATACTAGATGAATGCCTGATTTAAGTAGTAAGCTATGAGAATGTCTGGCTTTAAAAAATCCCTTTGGCTGGCGTAGATTCTCCTCTAGCATCTTTCATTCATAGGAGGATTTCTGCAAAGGACATTTTTACAACTCTTACTTCATGAGCCACGGATGCCTGCACACATACAGTTGCTGTAAAATACTATAAACACATTTGAATCAACAAAAACAACAGTTTGACCACCCACTTTATGTGATTCAATTGATAAAAGAGAGACGATTTCTCATAATGAAATCGTATGTTTATTAAGACTGCAGTTTATCTTCTCACATGAGATAGAAATGTGTACGG